AGCATTGGCAATGAAACTCACTTGCTCCTAGGGGGTGCTTGATTTCTTCATCATTTAAAAATCCAAAATCTTGTGGTTGGTACTTAAACACCAATCACACGCCATTACCGGCCTCTTCCCATGCTTCTTGTCCTCTAGGAGTGCATCAAGCAACTAATCAATTTCGCTTCAAGCGTGGGACTCGCTCCTACACTTTGCACTTCCCTTGTGGTGCTTCTCTTTCCACTTCTCGTCAAACCCCAATCATACCCTTTACTTGCCATGTCTTCAAGCAACTTGGTCACTTGGGGTGGAGTCATGTTCATCAATTTCCCTTGTCATAATGAGTCAATGACGATCTTGTCGTCTTGGTGGAGACTGCCATAGAAGGTCTCAATCCAGAATTACTCCTCGAATCCCTGATGTGGGCATTGGAGGAAGTAGTCGAAGTACCTTTCCCAAGCATCCCTCAATGTCTCATCTTTCTCTTGCCCAAAGTGGGTGAACCTCTTGCGCCACTCCACCCTCTTTGAAGGTGGGCAATACCGAGTCATAAACTTGTTGAGAATATCATCCCAAGAAGTTATCGAGAGAGTTTCTTATTGTTTAAGCACCGAGACGCATTCCCCTCAGGAGAGTAGGGGAATTGCCTCAACTTTAAAGCATCCTCGGGGACCCCATTGATCTTCAAACTCCCCGCAAGTTCAATGAACTTCTGAACATGCTCCCTTGGAGACTCGTTGCTAAGCCCATGGAATAGCGCATTGTTTTGAATCATGCTGACAAGGACGGGCTTTATCTCAAAATTGTTGGTGGCCACGGGCGAATGTCAAATGGTGGGTTGAATATCTACTTCCCTTGGAGCCATATAGTAGCCTTTGTTGATAATTCCCCATTGGCCCTTGGAAATGTGGCCTTAGTTGAATGAAATGAGGCCTTGGTTGATAATTCCCTGTTGGTCTTTGGAAACAGAGGTGTCTTGGATTACTTGGGGAAGACCAAGAGAAGTTCGGATGGTTTCGCCACCCCGGGTTGTAAGTGTTGCTATAGGGGTTGTTGTTCCCTTAGCATGAGCGATGAAGCTCACTTTTTCCTCGGGGGAGCTTTCTTCCTTCATCAACTGGCACTCCGAAATCTCATGGTTGGTACTTGAACACCAATCACATGCCATCAACGGCTTCTTCCCTTGCTTATTAGCTTCAAGAAGAGAATCAATCAACCAGTTAATCCTGGCAGCAAGTGGAGGACTCACTTTCGTGGATTGTACTCCTCTCTTGGCATCCCTCACACAGCTTCTCTTCAAACCCCAATCATACCCTTGTGTCGCTATATCTTCAAGCAATTGAGTTAGCTCGGGTGGAGTCTTGTTCATCAACTCCCCTTGATAGATCTCTTCCAGGCTGTTCTAAACATGTATGCTCATGATTGCCTTAGAGTAGGCTTTAGGTTCTCCAGATAGTGATTGCACTGAATAGCGACATCTTGAAATTATGGGACACCATAAGTCAGTAGCCTGTCGAACCGGGTTGTATACTCCGCCAAACTCTATTCTTTTTGCTTTTGCTCTGATAGGCCTTTGGCATAAAGTGGTCTCTGAACAGCCGCACAAACTCTGGCTAGGTGCTGGCTGGTGGCTTCTCTCGACAAGTTGGGTGTGTAGTCCACTAGTCGTAATCAATGTTCTGCAGCAAGGACACTATTAGTAGTAATCTGTCCTTGTCATCCACTCGCATCTTTTGCAGGGTACGAGTGAACTTCGACAACAACATCTTTATCACCAACGAATCCATAGAGTGCTCCCCGTAGAAGTCTTCTAGCTTCCTGTGAGGATTTACGTAGCCGTTACTAGTTATTTCTTACCATACAATGACTGAAGATGTTTATAAACTCTTTAAAGAAAATCCTTGACACGTTTGACCAAACTCTTAACATAAAACTCATTTCCCTTGCATTTAAAACAAAAGTCTTTAAAACTGAGATCGATATTCTAGCATTCCTTGTAGACCGAGGAAGACCGGCTCTGATACCAAAAATGCCACATCCCAATCACTAAAACCTTTAAATAATATTTTTGCTGCAGAGCATATTTAAATTTTTTGAAAAGAAGGAATAACCTGAAATTTCAATAAAACCTTCTAGCTCCTCCTTCTCTTCTTCTCATTCCTTCCGCTTATCTCTCAAATTTCTCTCTCGAGAACCAAAAATTTCAATAAAAAACAGCTCTCCTGAATGAGGAAAATGCATCCCATATTTATAGAGTTTCAGTTCTCAGATATGTGCGCGTCCAAGAAGAGAGAGTTCGCGAGCGCGATCTTGAGCAGGGAGGCTGCAATCTTCAAGCACTGCTGTTTTGTTCTTCATCCATGGGGGAGATTGCAGGCCGACTTCACGGTCGCAATCTGTGAGCTGTGGCCGCTATCTTTCTCGCAGACTGGGAAGTCGTGGGCTGCCATCTGAATCACGAAACTCTCTTCTTTTCCTGAGTTGGTTCCTCCTGAAGTTCACGACTGGAGTCTCCAACATCACAACCAAGATCTTTGCTATGCAGGCTGCAATCTTTGCTCTCACTTCGGGTGCTCCTTTCCTGACCGTGATCTTCCTTGTTCAAACTGGGATCTTAAGCTTTTGCCCCATTCTTGCTACATTTGTGTACTTTTGGTAACTAATTCGCACATATAATCTAGTACAACCTGATATAACGATATATTCTTCGAGGAACGATATAAAGGTGTAATTGACGATGTATCTTTCAGTATGCACGTGAAATGACCCAAAAAGAATCTATATATGACTATGAAGAGTAATAACACCAATTTAGGTGTTATCACCTCCAGATCAACAAAGCCAAGCCCATTCTTGACTACCTCCTTGCCATTGAGTTCCTCATCTCTCAGGACGATTCCATCTTTGTGTGATCCCGCTCCATCAAATTCATTAATGAAAAATCCTTGGTCCTCAATCTCGAAAATGTCTAAAACCCTGTGCCAAATTTTTTGGGGAGAGGGTATGTGGTGGTGGGAGTGCGGATCGGTGACTAAGGGGGGGTGCTTAGTCACTTGACTAAACCCCTCCCAGCCCTTAGATCTGGACACATCAATCTGATGGTTAAAAAGTGGGAAGGGCTATTTAATTAATGACAGGGGTAGTTTGGGTATTATGGAAAATTACGAACTATACAAACTGGACTTACAATCAGTACAAACCATACAAACAGTACAAACTAGAGTGACAAAACATACAAACAGATTTACAAACATTACAAACATATGAACTGTACAAAAAATACAAACTAGACCGACAAACAATACAAACCATACAAAAAGAAAAAACAACCAGGTTGACTTTGGAGACTCATCCCTATATAGAGGGGCTCCTTCCCAAAGTCAACCCGGGTGTTTTTTAGACATACAAACATTACAAACATGGTGGACAAATATGACAAACTAGACCGACAATCCATGCGAACTGGAAAAAACACCCTGGTTGACTTTGGAGGCTGCATCCCTATATAGAGAAGTTCCATCCAAAAGTCAACCAGGTTGTTTTTTAGACATAAAAAACATTACAAACATGGTTGACAAAAATGATAAACATGGTGCACAAAAATAACAAAGTTTACAAACATTACAAAATAACAAAGCGTACAAACATTACAAAATATGTCAACAAACATCACAAAGCACTGTCACCGGAAAATCTCTCTCTCTCTCTCTCTCTCTCTCTCTCTCTCTCTCTCTCTCTCTCTCTCTCTCTGGAACTTCATAGGGGGTAATCCACTCTCTCTGGGAAAATAATTTCCCATGTCACCTCCCTCTCTCTTTTCTCTGGCCGCGGGGAAAGAAGATGAGAAGCCGGAAAAAAAATTGGTCGGCTGGAGGTGCTGGAGGAACGACGATCGGCGGGATGAAAGCGAGGTGGGAGGGACGGACGGAAGTGACCTGTCCAATTATTATTTTAATGGTTAAATAAATAAAATGTATAATTACAACCTTGTCCTTCATTAAACTAGATAAACTAGAACCATTAGATTTTAATGAGGCTAGATGGCTGAGATTGGCTTAGTCACCTGATCTTATCCCGTGGTGGTGGCTTACGATATGATGGGTAGGCGGTGGCTTAAAGTGGCAAGGGTTGCAGTGGGGACTAGGTAGTGCTGGATTAGTGGGATGATGAGTGAAAGGAAAAAAGTATTTTTGGTCAATGTATTTTAAAATTTTTATTGCAAAAATAATCCACATCGTCAGAAACATCAGCAGTTAACTCATTGACTGTTGATCACTAATAGTTAACTTTGTTATAGTTAAAGGAGACGAAAGTTCATACTAGGATTGTTATATTGAACACTTGAGTACGTAAGTGACATTTTTTAGATTGTGGGTGTTTTGTAGTGGAATTGACACTTTCTTTTATTTTCCATTAAGTGTTTCTAATTATTATATGGGTTGGAGATATAAATCTCAATAATGATCTTCACGTTTGCCTCTAATTTTATAATGTTTCGGATCACCACATGACCATTTCCTCAATTCCTCTATTGAAAACTAAAAAAAAAATGTCAATATTTTCATTTACTTCTCTATCTTTAGCTCTTAGTTCTCTTCCATGCAATTTCTCTTCTCTTAATGCATTTTCCCACTTTGTTACCCATCCTAACCAATACTACCAAAGCTGAGTATCTTTTATTTCCTTTTTGGTTCTTTTACCTTTTTTCCCCTTTATCTCTCTTTTTTGGTCTTTGTTTCTTTGGTTGTGTTGTGTGTCAATCATCCAAAAAATCAGTAAAGACGCAAGCTTTCCCACATTTCCCCTACTTTCCCCCCATCTTTCTGGTTTTCTCCCATTCGTGCTCCTCTCTTTTCGATAGAAAGATGGTGCCTATCCCGAAAGATAATTTTTCCATCCTCTCATTTCCTTTGTCCATCCCTAAGAGATCCCAGTTTCTCCTTTCTATTTGAAGCGTTTATTAGCGACAAAAGGGTTTTCTTTTACATTTGCGTTTTGGTTTATTCTTCCATGAGTTGATGTCTTTGGCTGTGTCACCTTCAAATAACATGGGCTTGGATGACAACAACCAGAATGAAGAGTTTCAGAAGCAACACGAAGATGAAGGTGTGGAGAAGATTTCAAAGCACACGAGCCACTCTTCCTTAGATGGAGGCGGTGGCGACGATGACGAAGACGATGATGAAGTAGCCAATAAGCTTGAGCTTGGTCCTCAGTATTCTCTCAAGGAACAGCTCGAGAAAGATAAGGTTTGATTCGAAAAGAAAGCTCTAGTTTAGCTTTTCGTTTGATTTTGGGCTACTGGTTGTTTAATTTTCAACATTGTCTGGTTTTTGTTTATTTAGGATGACGAGAGCCTCAGGAAGTGGAAGGAACAACTCCTCGGAAGTGTGGATTTTGAGAATATTGGAGGTAATGTTTGTGTCCTTGAGTTGTGCGTTGTGATTGGAATTGTAATTAAGGGTCTTGTTTGCTAATTTTTGTGCATTGAAAGCATGGTTAAGAACTTGAGATGTGATATGTTGCCACTAAATTTGAGCCCGCCCGTTGGTAGGATGAATTTCGTTAATAGTATAAATAACCATAGAAATTATTTTATTTTATACCATAAAATTTTTGAATCATTTAGTAACTGGAGACAATATCATACTCATATAATATTTGAACATGCTAAACCAATTTATTGCTAAAGTCCTTATTGCAAGTAAAAAACAAAACCATGCAAGAAAATCTACTCCTAAAAATATAATCAAACCGCACTATTTGCTCTTTTTTTTTGTTGACAAAAGATAATCTTCATTGACCGAAACAAAAGATAGTTACATCCTGGAGAGCAGTCAGGCCTGAAAATCAAAGAAACAACTCGCAGTCGGGTACAAAGAGAGGGCCTTATGAGCCACCAAGTGGGCTACCCTATTGCTACGCCGACATACAAATCTAACACTAAACCCTGAGTGAACCGCCAAGTGATGAATAATTTCCGCAAGAATAGCACCAATCTGACTATCACTAGCATCCGCATGGTTGATTTTGTTAATAATGACCTTAGCATCCCCCTCAAAACACACCTCCATGAAACCCCGATTCAGGCACCACATGATAGCTTCCCGGAGCACCAACACCTCTACTACCATGGGATCATCGATGCCCGGGAACTGAACCCCACCAGCCATAAGGACCCCTCTAGCCGGGGTCATAACAACAATCCCCCCAGCTGAGTAACACCCCCTCCTCGTAGCCCATCCCACATGCAAACCAGCCTATCAGCCTCCACCGGAACCAGTTGAGGAGGAGGAAGGGCATAGGAGCGAGAGTTCCGATCCGCAGGCAGCCCAACCCATTCCTCATACTGCTGGTTGTATTGACGCATCAGGGCAGGGATCCCAAACTGCTTGCCGTCGAAGACAACCCAGTTTCGAGAACGCCATATTCGCCAAAGGACAGAAACAACCGCCATGAGAATGGATGGCTGATTAATCAGAAACATTAACCGCTTACGAAACATGGAAAAGGTGTGCTAAGGCAACCCTTCTCCTAGGGAAGCCAGCCCCGAATAGTCCCAGAGCGCCCGAGCCACCGGACAGGAGAGGAATAAATGTTCCAAGGTTTCTGACTCGGCCCAACAAACCGGACACCTAGGTAAAACTAGAACATCTTTGGCAATGAGGGCTTCCGTCGTAGGAATCATGCGATTCAGTATTTTCCAAACAAACACCTTCAATTTAGGGGGCAGATTAGCCTCCCAGAGCCTGATCCAACTCGCCTTATCCATCCAGCTAACCTCTGACCACCAACGACCCTTCCTTCTATCAAGGGTGACAGCTAAATGATAGGCCGACTTCACAATGAAAATCCCTTCCGGAGTATTATGCCAAATCAGCTTATCCTCCACCGGCAATCGCGGAAGGGGGATGGCTTTAATGGCCTTACAAGTAGGAGGGTCGAACCAGTGACTCAACTTCCAGTCACACCACCGGCCCCCTTCCGGGCTGATCACCTCTGCCACCATCGGCTCCCCCTCAACTGGCAGGACCTGGGGGTTATACCTAGGAGGATCAAGCTGTAATTGAGGAATCCATCTAGAATGGAGCAGGGGAACAAACTTCCCATTTCCAATTTGCCAACGTAGCCCTGCTTCTAACAACTAACGGCCATACTGAATACTCTGCCACCCCCACGAGGGACGAGATCGTGTCGTAGCTGATAGGAAGGATCCATTGGGAAAGTACTTCCCTTTATAGACTTGAGCTAAGAGGGACTGGGGTTCCTGAAGGAGGCGCCAACCAATTTTAGCCAAAAGAGCTTGGTTGAAATGTTCAAAACCGTGAAACCCCATTCCTCCATCATGCTTACTCCGGCACATATTTCTCCATGACATCCTTGTCCGCATGTTTATCCAGTAATCGGCACAGTGAGAAAGGCAGCCTGAAATAGGACATCACATGCAACGGTAGTGCCAAGGCAATGGATTTGATTAGGGTTTCCTTAGCCGCCCAGGATAGCGTCCTTTGTTTCTATCCTTGGAGGCGATCAAGCAGCTTCTCCTCCAAGTACTGGAAGGTCTCCATCTTAGACCGAGCAATCAGCATAAGCAGTCCCATGTACTTATCATGAACCCCAACCGCCCCTACTCCCAAGACCGCAGCCAGGAATTCTTGGTCGGGCAAAACAATGTTTCTACTAAAGCTCCTCATACTCATTCAAGACCTCGATTAAATTCTCGCATTCTTGGAGAGACCCACGCAGGAACAAATACAAATCATCAGCAAGAACAGATGCGAGATCCGCGGGACTCGGGGAGCAACCTTGATTCCTCCAAGCTTATCATCAGAAATAGCCTTCCGAAGAAGCGCAACAAACCCCTCCGTACAAAGCACAAACAATAGCGGGGACAGAGGATCCCCCTGGCGGAGGCCTCTGGAGGGGGTGAATTGAAGTAGCCCGAAGGGGTGCCATTCATTAAAACGGAGAAAGACGAGGACCGAAGGCATTCTTGTATCCATCCCCGCCAGGTAGAGTTAAACCCCATTTTTTCGAAGACACCAAGCAGAAAGGGCCATTCAACTCTATCATAGGCTTTTTCCATGTCAACCTTCAGAGCCATGAACCCTTTCTTTCCACGCGACTTAATTTTCAAATAGTGCATTAACTCATGCCCAAGGAGGATATTCTCGATGATTTGTCGGTCCCGTATAAAAGCATTTTGACCCTCTGAGACAATCTGCGGTAAAAAACCCGCAAGTCTCTCAGCCATGATCTTGGTAATCAGAGTGATTGGCCGCAATTGTCGCATATTCTCCACAGAGTCGACTTTGGGAATCAGAGTGAGCCAAGTATGGTTGAAACTATGGAGCATCCTGCTAGTCTCAAAGAAGGAACAAACTACCTCAACCACTGAGGCTCCCACAATATCCCAGAAGGATTTGAAGAATTTCCCCGTGAATTTGTCTGACCCAGGAGCCTGCTTCGATCCCATGGCGAAAAATGTTTTGCGAATTTCATCAGGGAGAATAGCTGGCGTTAGGCTAGCATTCATCTCTGGGGTAACCTTGTGATCGATAGGCAAGCCTGCCACACGCTCAGACATATTAAAGATTTGATTCTCCGAGGTAAAGAGATGTTGATAGAAATTGGTCGCCATGCCATCTTTTCCAGGCTCATCCGTGATCCAATCGCCCTCATCATTACGAAGCCCGGCCACAAAATTCTTCTTACGGCGCGTCCGAGTCACTATATGAAAATAAGAGGTGTTTTTGTCTCCTTTCTTTGACCAGTGGACCCTAGACTTTTGCTGCCAATAGAGATCCTCTGCTTCCCATTGCCGATTCAACTCACTTTCCAGAATCCGGATTGTATCCCAGTCAATTGGATGGGAACGCTTAATCGTTTCGATTTCATTATGGAGAGTTTTTATATTTCGGAGGGAATTAGTGGTGCCCTCCCTACTCCAATCATACAATAAATGACGGAGCTTCTTAAGGCGTTCCATAAACGAAACATAGGCGTCTCCTCCTGCCAGACGTATTGTACCATGGCCCTAACTTCGGGATTATCCGCCCAACGGGCATCAAATCGGAAGAGAGGGCGGCAATTACGAGCATAGGGCTTATCAGAGAGGAGGAGCGCCCGATGATCAGACCCTTGATCTGTAAAATGTTTAACCAACGTATCAGGGTAGTAATCAATCCAGGCTTGCAAATACATCGCTCTATCGAGACGTTCGCGAATGCAAGCTGCACCCATCCTCTTATTCGTCCACGTAAATTGATCGCCCTGATAACCAGGGTCACGAAGACCCAGGTGGATAATAAAGTCACGTTGACTAGCAGACTGAGTGGCATTCCAGGGATTCCCTCCCTCCTTCTCACTTTTTATGAAGAATAGTGTTAAGATCGCCAATGACAACGTAAAGGCTCTGGATGGCCGCACAAACCTCACTAAGATGGGCCAATTGGGAAGCCTTGGTCGCACCATTACAACTAATGTAAACACACACCACAACATAAACAAAATCTCCTTCATTAACTAGAACACAAATACAAAAATTGGAATGATAAAACACTGAAGCATCAACCTCGGAAGACCAAGCAACAACTAAACCTCCGGAAGCGTCAATCGCATCCACAAAGAAACAATTGGAAAGATCAAAACATAAACACCGCATACGGCGAGAGACAACACGCCGGCTCGATCCCGTCTCCGAGAAAAACACGAGATCCGGTTATTCGATCGAACTAACCCTACAACAGTTTGGATTTGAGGGATGGCCCAATTTCTCTCACATTCCAAGCCAGAAGCCTCCTTTATCCGGGTGGGGCCACTCGAGGATGGCTTCCTCCACCTTCTCATTTCCATCATTATCCTCCACAAATTGTTTTTTCGGGGATGGGGTTCCGCAAAAACACCCTCAAGCACCTCCAGAGGCCGCTTTAGTCCCACAATAGAGGGGTCCAAAAGATTGGATCCATAGGCATTAACTCGGCAGACCTTCCTCACCTTCCTTTACATTGAGTTGGTCAATGGTATTTTCTTCAAGGGTACGAGGTTTCCAGACCCACTTCCTGGGAGAGTTATCATCCATCACCGGTCCGGCCTCAAACGCCCTAACCACTTGTCGAACACGGCCAGATTGACTTGGCTTAGAGAGCTTAGCCGTTGTCGCACGCCGTTTCAGCTCAAAAGAATGGGAGTCGTCCCCAGAGGTAGCCTCCTCCAAGTCTATAGCCATAGCTCGATCAGCCGCATTGACGTCAACCATAGGGGCCATCCCAGGCGAGTTATCAGCACCCGGTGCCTTCTCCAAACCCTCCGTTTGCACCGTATGTTCCTCACTCGGAGGAGCAGTACAAGGAGCATTTTTGTTGGACAATTTGTGGCCCTTCCTAGCCTTTGAACTTGATTCCTGACGCACCTTTCCTGAGCCAAAACTGAGGGGTCATTCGACAATTTCTTCTTGGGGATGCGTTTAGCATTCACCCGGGTTGAGGTGCGTTTCTCATTTGGATACGTCATTTTCATGGGATGGGCTTCATCAGGCTCGTTATCCTCATATCATTCAGCCAACGGGACCTGCTGGACATAGAATTCGTCCTCAGAGTCCTCCTCCAGTATCAGGCGTCGGCGATGGGAAGCTTCCCACTCGCTAGGCTGGGTTGGGGGTTCCCGACGTGTGGGAGAAGAGCGGGCCTTCCCATGCAACTCATGCATCCTACCATTTTGATGCTCCTCGTGGACCCCCTGGCTGGTTCGATATTGAGTAATTCGCCCCCGGGTCTCCAACGTGGAATCACGAGAGTGAGGCAGCACATGGGTTTGCGTGCCAGTCTTCAGCACGACGCCCTTGTGCCCTTGTCTCCCGAATGCAATCCTCGGCCCTTTAGAAACGGGGACATATGGGGGCCAAATCGTTCTTTTCCGGAAGGTGGATCGAACAAACACGTCTGCCGAGAGTGCGCTACTCGGCCACAGTGGTAGCAAAAGCTCGGAAAGTGTTCATATTTCAGCCGAATCCAGAAGCACCCGGTCTCTTCATTAGATGCCATGAGCTGGGAACGAAGGGGTTTGGAAAAGTCAATCAGGGCTTTCACCTTGATGAACTTCTGATCCGTGTTACTGCACGAGAATAGTCCAGCCTCGAGCACCCGTCCCAGCGCTGCATTGGCCACTTTTCTTCCAAACTGGTGAGTACAGCAATCATCCTGAACGTCCCACATTTGGATGCGGAATGGAGCGATGGCTAGCTCCTCAAAGGTACGCCGAGTAATGGAAGGGGTCTAGGATCGTAGGTGGAGGATCTTATCCCCAATCACCCACGGAGTTTGCTTGAGGAACCACGCCTTGGAGGTCTTGTTCGGCAAGACGAATTCAAAGAGCCCATGGGCTACCAGTCTCACCCTGATACGGCTTCGACCTTGCCAAGGATTGTTCACCGCCTCGCAAAGCTCCCTTGGTCATACATTTTTCTCGGTAATGAGATGCCCTAATATCGAGCGATCCTATCGCGCCTTGTCAGATGGGACATCCTCCAGCGAGAATTCAACGATCTGGTCCTTTCAAATACGTGACATGTCGGCACACTCCCAGGGGGCTATGCTACATCCAGGAACTCCTTGCCTCTCACGAAAGCACTTTGGATGCGTGGAAGCAATATGGCAGGAGTGGGACTTTAAATACAAGTCACAGCTGGAAACCCCAAAGCAAAGCGCGTAGCCAGATTGGATCGGATTCGAAATAGTAGTTATCCCCTTCTGTTTATTTGTTTTTCGAATATTCTGAGCCATTAAGATATTTGTGAGATTTCTCACAATCTCCAACCGACTAGGGATATAGAGAAAGATCAAATCGGAGCCATTAAGATATTTTGATGGAATTTTTGTTTTTTTGACTGACCGACACTCCCATCAGCACACGCAACAAGGGCATCGGCGGCCAAGGACAGGCCACCGGCCGGCGTAGGGAGGCTTTAATGGGCTGATTTTCCCCAGATGATTGCTGGAGAGAACTCGCCCCACAACGGGATCTAAGTTTACTCTCTATTACTTCAAGTTTGTTCTCCGTTAAAGCACAACCATCTGTATTCTCTGATCTTTCACAATCAACTTCACTTTCTATTACTTCACTCGACGACGGCAACCGGAATTGCCAAATCTACACATTATGGAGTCGCCGCCGTTTGGGAGAAGAAGGGACGGACGCAGCAGCGCTGCTGCTCTTTGGCCGTTTTCGTTTTTGCCCAGAGGAAAACACTCTCGTCGTCCGTCCTGGGGTATGCTCAGCCTCCACTGCATGAGCATCATGCGATTTGCCGAAAGCACCAGTAATTTTCTGGTTATCAAGAGCCACCTCCAGCATCGCCGTCAGGCAGGCCCGAAGAACCTGCCCCATGCGGAGGCAGAGCTCAAGGAGAGAGGAGAGAGCTCCTCTCATTTTTTTTTATTTTTTTCAATTGTATGGAAACTAAAGAAATCACCAGCTTGAGGTAAAGGTCTATATAAAAAGATATCAATGCTAATTTTTGCAAATGTCATTTTAGATTTCGTGTGATCGCAGCATCCTCTAAAGCACCATCACATCTATAAATTCCAATGCATTATTTTTTCTTTACGAAACCTTTATCTTCACACTAAACATTACACACGGTAGAATTTACGTCACATGAACATTTTATGATATCTATTCTTTCCCATGCTGATAAACAACCCAACAACCAACACAAATATTGATACTCTTTAGATTGAAAAATTAATGAATAAAGCGAGAACCAAAAAAACCAAAAATTGATGGTGGGGATGTAATTAGGAATTGTCGTATAGATAGGGTACCATTATAGAAGAATTGATAGTGCATGAACGCTACGGTACATGATGCCATAGGATTAGAGGTGGACATCGGTCGATTCGGTACAGAATTTGTTCGAATTGATACAAAACTGAACCAAAAACAAAGGAAAAATAAGGACGAGAACCGGACCAAAAACATGTTTGGTTTATTTTGTTCGATTTAGTCCATCCCAAATTCAATTTTGGTCCATGTTTCTTCATACTTAAAATAATTCATAGGATCAAAATCGAATCAAAATATATTCAATCTGATATGATTTGATCCAAATATCAATTTGGTACGATTTACTCTGGTGCGAACCGGATCGTTAGCCACCCCTACATAGGATGCTAGACTAACATATCTTCCAAAATATGTCAAAAATGAAGATTTTGTCTTCTATGCGGTCACTTTTTGGGTACATGCTATCACTGGCCTCATAACCGTCATTGTGAGCAGGTGATTCATGTCAAACTCATGTCAATCATTACCGGTGACATGATGGACAAAAATACACATGAATAATGTATAAATTAAATTTTGAACAAATGAAATATGATTAATTAGAAACCGATAAGGGAGTGATTATGCACGTTGAACTATGCACCTAAATTTTTTCACAAAGTAACAATAAACTATTTTATCTAAATGGATACAATAAAATATAGCTGCTAATTATAATTTTAATAAATATATAGAGAGAAATTTCACTATATTTCATACCAACATTGTTCCATTTTTAAAAAAATACAATATTCAGTTTGTGTCTATACATTTTCGTAAAAAATTATAGTATAAACTCAACTTGTATCTTTAATATTACGGTACAAACTTAATTTGTATTTATATCTCTACGTACAAATTCATTTATGACAACACAAAATCGTGTATCTTTAACACTATAATATGGCAGTTATGATATAAATTAAATGTATCTACAAACACTAATTCTTTGAAGTATAGTAAATTAGGAGCTTTAAATAACAAAACACATTAATAAAATAGGGAGATTTAATTCTTTATGTGGGAGTTCCGGTCCTAATTTTTTAATTAATATGTTGAGGGTTTTAACTTATAAGCCCAAATGACCAATGAATCCTCCCTTCCTATGCAGAGAAGCTAGGAAAAAATCAATTGGATGGGTTCTCAACAGGAACCTCTATATATTATTTATTAATTAGAAACCGATAAGGGAGTGATTATGCACGTTGAACTATGCACCTAAATTTTTTAATAAAGTAACAATAAGCTATTTTATCTAAATGGATACAATAAAATATAGCTGCTAATTATAATTTTAATAAATATATATAGAGAAATTTCACTATATTTCATACCATCAATTGTTCCATTTTTAAAAAAATACAATATTCAGTTTATGTCTATACATTTTCGTAAAAAAAAATTTATAGTATAAACTCAACTTGTACCTTTAATATTATGGTAAAAACTTAATTTGTATTTATATCTCTACATATAAATTCATTTATGACAACACAAAATCGTGTATCTTTAACACTAAAACATGGCAGTTATGATATAAATTAAATGTATCTACAAACACTAATTCTTTGAAGTATAGTAAATTAGGAGCTTTAAATAACATAACACATTAATAAAATAGGGAGCTTTAATTCTTTCCGTGGGAGTTCCGGTACTAATTTTTTAATTAATATGTTGAGGGTTTTAACTTATAAGCCCAAATGACCAATGAATCCTCCCTTCCTATGCGGAGAAGTTAGGAAAAAATCAATTGGATGGGTTATCAACAGGAACCTCTAAATATTATTTGGAGGAGGAGGATTATCCAATGTTACCTTATGGGTTGAATTCGTAACTTTTAAACTATTGCATAAATTATGGGGAGAAATTTTACAATGCTATATAGTATTGGTGCTATAGGATTTTGCCTTTATGGTACAACTTAAAATTGTACATTTACATTATGGTACAACTTCAGATTGTACCTATACTTTTTGTACAAATTCTTTTATGGTACAACTTGAACTTGTACTTTTATGTGATGGTACAACTTCAAGTTGTAAATTTGTACCATAACATAATGGTACAAATTGTTTTATGGTACAACCTAAACTTATACATTTAATGTTATGGTACAACTTTAAGTTGTACATTAAAGCACCAATACTATATAGCATAGTAGAAGTGCTCAAATTATGGGCCATAGAAGCCCTTTTACGTAGGAAGTAAGCTCCAATTTGTCCAATCTCTGATACTCATATCTGAATTTCAGTCTTCCAATTTAGTTATGCATTTGACTGCAAACGGGATAGCTATGTCTAGTTTAAGAAGGGAATGGTGTTTAACCGGGAAAACCTAAGTGCTAAGATTTGGTGTTCATCATTGTATTGAAGGAAACCGACTTGATGATTTTTCGTTTGTTAGAGCATTCTCATTTATTCTGCGATGACTTGCGGATGCCTTCTGTAGTAAATCTTTTTTTTTTTTTTTCTTACGTTGGTTCTTTGCAGAAACACTTGAGCCAGAAGTGAAAATTCTAAGTCTATCGATTGTTTCTCCTGATAGAGCTGATATTGTCCTATCTATTCCCGAAGACGGGAAGCCAAAAGGGTCGTGGTTTACTTTGAAAGAAGGAAGTCAGTACAAGTTGAAGTTCGCATTTCAAGTCAGTAACAACATTGTATCTGGTCTCAAGTACACCAACACTGTCTGGAAAACTGGTGTCAAGGGTAAGTGTGTCATCTCCATTGCTAACTGAGTTCCTTCACAAAGCATTTCTTAGACAACTTGGAAGTTATTTGTAGGTACTTGTGAACACTTAAAATGGGGCGTACTATTTTTTATTTTTTACCTTAAGTAGTATTTGAACTATGGATTAGAGTTAAACTCTTATAACTAGAGGACTTGTTGTAGTTGATGGCACAAAGGAGATGCTGGGTACCTTTAGTCCTCAGCCGGAACCTTACATACATGAGATGCCAGAAGAGTCCACCCCATCTGGCATGTTTGCTAGGGGATCATATTCAGCGAGGTCAAAGGTTAGTTTATCTCATTGAGTCAATCTTGGAATCAAGCTTGTGTCCTAAATGCCCAGAGGTTTTGTACATCTTTGACATTTTGAGCATTGTTAACCATCTCCCAATTAGATGCTTAGAAGCTTCGAGTTAGAATGGATAGCATTAAATCATGGAATTGCATTATTACATGTTTTGTGCATTATTTTCCAAATAAGGTTCCATGACGAAACCGGATTTGAAAAATGTAGTTATCAGAATAGACCCACACCAACCCTTCTCAATCAGTCATCGTCCTGTGAAAAAACTGTATCTGTGTTGTACAACTTCTCATTGAAAATGAACTGTCGATGTTCTTGGTACATTGTTGGATTTAGAACTCCATCATTGACCTCTTGCATTTACTTTGATGCAACGCAGTTTGTCGATGATGATAACAAATGCTATTTGGAAATCAGTTACACGTTCGACATTCGGAAAGAATGGGCACCAACCACTTGAGGCAGGAGAAGTGTTTTGACTGTTTTCCCCTCCTGCAAAGCGAGCGCTTTTCCTCCTCCCTCAATGCTCATTTTTTTGCCCCCTTCAATGATCCCATCAACCCCCAGCAATAGAGACACACAGAAAGAAATTCGTTTAACAATGACCATTGATAAGGGGAATTGTTTTGAATTTCTGGTTAGCGTTGCTTGCACACGTTATGGCTTCCAAAATCTAGCCTGCCTTGGTTTCGTTTGCGGAGACTGGAAATGGAGGCCAGAACCAGAATCCCTTTAATAAATGGTACATTGTTCTTCTTTTTCTTGGTTTTTGTTAGTTTAGATCTTCCATTTGGCGAGCTAAAACAAAAGGGGCAAGGTTAGACTGTTTTTTATTATGGTAACCTATGCGCGAAGCTATTATTGAACAGGTATTGACATTACATCATCCAACAGAAGTTGGTCAATCACAATCAAAGGCGGCCTATCAAACCAAACTTGTGTTTCCTCTCATCTAGTTATGACCTTATCCATAATATCAGCTGCATTATTGGCCTCCCCGTAGACGTGTTGCCACGTCCCACCATTCGTCTCTGACAACAGTCTTCGAACATTTCTGCTCACCGCACCCACCTCCGTTTGATCCTCAGTTGCCATCTCCAATTTTCACAAAACGATTAGGCTATCCATCTCCAAGATCGGCTTCCCCAAGTATTACCAGTTTCACTCCAAACCCTGCTGACAATGCTTCCCCTAGCTCCACCGAGTACTCCCCCCTTGTTCGACGTGCCGTAGCTAACAGGAGCTTGCCCCAGAGTCTCGGACAACCACTTCCGGGCCGATTCCTCCATCACATCTCCAGGAGTCAGTATTAACTTTAATCTACCCCGTCGGAGGTCTTGCGGGGGAGAAATTAACATTAAAGAAGATCAATGATAAATCCAAAAAAGGCAAGAACTTTCGTATATAGTTTTACCCTATTACATGCAGAATGGATGAAAATGGAACTATAAGTAACACATAAGGACTACTCTACATCATACATGATGACCATAAGTACAGAAATTTACTTCAAATTTCTAATAAACAAAGAGCATCATCATCTATGTCATACCCCTCAGCATGATGAACCTAGATTATAACAATAAGATATTAGCAATAAGTAAATTCATAAACTGACTTATCCCATTCGACTATCCCTACATAGCAACCCTACATCGACTTCGAAATCATATTTTCAACTAAAATAAGAGGATAATTTTCAATAACTTGAATCACGAGATGAAGGAATAAACCCAAACTATAACTGTAACGGATTCTTCGCCCAAGTAAATTAAAAAATGGCTTCTCTCATTCGAGTCGTCCATACATAGCAATATGACACAGACCTAGAAAACAAATTTGCAGCTAAAATAAGAAGATATTTTTCAATAATTTGAATAGCGAGATGAAGGAAAGAAGAAAAGCTGGAGAAACCCACCAAGTAGCAGCAGGGCATTGAACAGATAGGTGCAAAGCGAATCGCAAGAGCTGAAAAGATAAAGACGGGTCAAACGACACACATGATAATCGGTCCAACAACAGTGGAATCGCCAAAACCTACTACTAATTGAGAGCAGTCAGTTGTTCCGAAAACGGACCTAGAGCTCCCTGCTGCAATCCAACAAAGACATGGTCCTTAAATTTGTAAAAAGTAAATAGCTTCATTTGCAATTGATAACAATGCGTGAAATGATGAAAAGAAGAGAAGCAAAGAGGAACCACCCCACGTGATGCTAACGGAGGGGTGAGGGCAGTGAGCTTTAGGAACCCAACAGATAGGTAGCAATTATTAACTGAGGGCAGAGTGGTGGTCAAGACAGTTTCGGCTGGTTTGAATAGGCGGAGAACAACTGCCACCCACTCCGTTCTTGTCTCCCTCCCAAAGTCACCATCACCGTTTCTTTCTCCACTGCCAAGCCCAAGCTCCTCTCCCTCCCACCAACTCACCGCTTCAAAAAAAAAAACCCTAACTTACTGCAATCTCGAAAAAATCATTGCCTGCCTGGTCTAATATCAAGATTTCGAGAGATTGCAGATGTCCAATATCAACGAATGCTTCTCCGAAATTTATCATATACTAAAAATCCAATATATTGAGATCCCAAAGTTGTAAGAATGCAGTGGGCGGACCACAGTGCCAAGGTAGCAACGCCGGTGGAACGGGTTAGCTTATCCGCAAGTTAAATCCTCAAATCCGTTTCAGAGAATGGACGGGAAGAGATTGGAAGTATACAACAGAAGATGGAGTGTATTTTGCTGCGTCAAGGGGATTAGGGTCGAGGGGAGATAGGGAATCAGAGTT